TGGTTAATGAAAGTGTTCTAAAACGCAACATTAATTCTTGACGACCTAATACAATTTGTGTGTCATCACAGTCCATCCCAGCTGACAAATTTTGGTATTTAACAAAACACTTTCTGAGTAATGATTTTTGGCTAGAGCTGGATTAAGACCATAGCGGGCACATAGATAACTTCAGGTCATCAGGGTTCCCCATCCTCCAAAGGCCCTGTTTTTTTGTTTTTTTTTCATTGAACTTTTACCCATAAAAAAAACAAATGATGAAAAGTCTATTAAAAAACATGAACACTGTGAAGCCCTTGACAAATTGGCTCACATGCACCTGTATTTTGGTTAATGTAACTCTTCTGCTTGTGGCAAACAAATGATAGATCAGGAATTTCGTTTCTACATCAACCCGAGTCGGAGTCCGTAACAACTAATTAAAGAAAAATGTGTAAAAAAAACACACTCCTTTAGTCTAGTGTGAATTTTTTATTGTGAATATCAGTCCTACTAGTGCTGATTACCAACTTTCGACCGTTAGCAGCTACCGTAATATGAAGTATTTCAAGTTTAAATAAATAAAGAAAAATACAACAAATATGACTGTCTATCTAAAATTTATTAACGCAAAGGAAAAATAAAATAAATCAAGTTGTTGTCCAAACTTGGAGATTTGAATTGATACACAATGAATCTAACTTTAGATAATATACAGTTCGCGATTTCATTAAAAACGTACGATTGTACAAAAAAAAATAATCTACTAATTATACTTAAAAAAAAATTATTGATTCGATGAATAATCTTAATCATTTTTAAAGTACAATAATAAAACCTATATATTCAAAATAAAAAACAACACACTAATGATCTGTGTAAGTTTCAACTAATTAATTATTCCAAATCCTTTCCGGAGTTTTTTAATTCCATCGAAAAAAAGTTTCGATTCCAGTTATGAGGCCTAAATATGCAACACAACTTGATTGAAATAAGTAGTTATTAACAACCATAAGAAGATTGTGGGTTTTAGGATTATATCTTACAGTGGAATCGACTCTGACTAGATTTTTTAGAAATAAATTTATTATAATTCGGGTTTTAAATCAGGTACACGAGTTATAATTGACAATAAGCCACATATGTTTTGGAAAAGTAAAAATACATTTTTGTTTTGCTTGTTTCGGTTTTAGTTGTAACCGTGTCCAGCATATTTTGGATAATTCTTATTTCACTATTCATCATTCAAGAAGGTATTTCTATATAGGGCTAGTTGTTAGAATGTCCGGTCTGTGAATCGTGAGGATTCGTGTCTCGCGTCCTGTTGTAAAAAAAACCAAAAAAAACAACAAGTTTCGTGGATAAACGCTATAAGAGTGACGTTGAATCTGATTATTCGGGTTGAAAAATAGTAGCCCAAGAGTTAGCGGTTGGTGCTGTTAACTATCTGATATCCCTTTAGTCTATTACTTCAAAATTTGGGACGAATATGCGGAGCTGTGTGAATAAATTCTATAAAAAACAAAATGCAAACATCATAACAAACTTAAGCTATGTACTACTTTTATTTGGAGCTGATTTAAATTATTGAAGTAACTGTTCTACCTAAGTCTGAAACTGATTGAAATTATTGAAATAATGGCCCTACCTTTGTTTGTAACTGATTTAGATTATTGAAGTAACTGTTCTGCCTTTGCCTGAAACTGATTGAGATTATTGAAATAATGGCCCTTCCTTTGTTTAGAACTGATTTAGATTATTGAATTAACTGTTCTACCTAAGCCTGACACTGGTTGAGATTATTGAAATAATGGCCCTACCTTGGTTTGTAATTGATTTAGATTATTGAAGTAACTGTTCTGCCTTTGCCTGAAACTGGTTGAGATTATTGAAATAATGGCCCTACCTTGGTTTGTAACTGATTTAGATTATTGAAGTAACTGTTCTACCTAAGTCTGAAACTGATTGAAATTATTGAAATAATGGCCCTACCTTTGTTTGGAACTGATTTAGATTATTGAAGTAACTGTTCTACCTAAGTCTGAAACTGATTGAGATTATTGAAATAATGGCCCTACCTTGGTTTAGAACTGATTTAGATTGTTGAAGTAACTGTTCTACCCTTGCCTGAAACCGATATAGAGTGTATAAATTATTGTATTTCCAATTTTTGGAACTGATTTAGTTTGTCTCACTGTTCAAGAATATCACAGTCCAGTTTGTTTGTTTTTATTTTGAATTTCGCGCAAAGCTACTCGAGGGCTATCTGCGCTAGCCGTCCCTAATTTAGCAGTGTAAGACTAGAGGGAAGGCAGCTAGTCATCACCACCCACCGCCAACTCTTGGGCTACTCTTTTACCAACGAATAGTGGGATTGACCGTCACATTATAACGCCCCCACGGCTAAAAGGGCGAGCATGTTTGGTGTGACAGGGATTTGAACCTGCGACCCTCAGATTGCGAGTCGAGTGCCTTAACCACCTGGCCATGCCATACTGTCAGACAAATACAGAAACGTTGTGTTCACTTTGACTGTTGTATAGAATATGATAAAATAACCTGGATCGTCTCACAGTCCAGAGAAGAAAGTTTTGTTTTTGGTATCAAAGTGTTAAGTACATGGTCAGATTTTTGTGAATTACATATAAACTATGAAATATGTTCTTTCTAAAATCACTTGCAGCGATTGTCTTCTTATGCTGTTTCATTGTTTGAAAAATAATTTAATGACGCTTCCTTTCCAAAACTTCTCTGATGGAAATTAGGGAGAGAAAGTCGTTTCTTCCCCTAGAACGTCGGTTTGGTTTTTGTTGTCACTCTTCAAGACGCATATGTCTAAATGTAGCAGCAAAGGAACTTTACAATGGCCTTATCTAAGTTATTTTAAAAATAATTCGGACGCGTTATCATCCTCGAGCCACGCTCTCGTGAATAGCCCATTCTCTTGCTTGAAATGAAACTTTTCTCCAAGACGATTGATATTTAAAGCTCATTACTCTACAATCTCAGACGACTTATTGCATCACGTCACAGCAAAAGCAGTGCTCATCACGTGCAGATTTCTCAAAAAATTGATTTGGTATTTGGAAAATTTGACTGTAGAGTCCGGGGAAAGAGGGGAGGGGGTAGCAGACTCCTAATGACGGTAACGTCATAAATTGTGACATAAAATTCGTTTCAACGACTCGAACAGTTATCAAATGATACAACCACTCTCGGATATTCACGAACCAATTTCTTACCACCGTGAACACAATCCAATAGAGGGAGATAGGCCATTTTTATATCTCAACATCTGCTTCTACATTACAACGTTGAATATTTACTTTAAGAATGACGTGCGCGTGAATATTTTAGCAACAATTCATAGACAGGTAAGGATGGCGAGCGCGTGAATATTTTAACAATACTTCATAGACAGGTAAGAATGACGTGCGCGTGAATATTTTAACCATACTTCATAGACAGGTAAGAATGACGTGCGCGTGAATATTTTAGCAACAATTCATAGACAGGTAAGGATGGCGAGCGCGTGAATATTTTAACAATACTTCATAGACAGGTAAGAATGACGTGCGCGTGAATATTTTAACAATACTTCATAGACAGGTAAGAATGACGCGCGCGTGAATAGTTTAACCATACTTCATAGACAGGTAAGA